CGCACGCACGCACGCACGCACGCACGCACGCACGCACGCACGCACGCGTACACACATGAATGCATGTATGCATGTTTGTATGTATGTATGTATGTATGTATGTATATGGTATGGAAATAGATGAGTGAAAGAAAATTATTATAATTATGTTTGACTGCTACTGTCCAGCTGTCTGATGGAAATTCACTGTTTTTGATGACTCCCACCAATGGCCGAGATCATGTGGAGATTGACATGGCAGCTTGCCCAATGGTGGTCCTCCAAAAACCATTTAGATGAGTCGATTTATAATTTCAGATGATCAGAATATCAGTGACTATATATAATAGCTAATAGACCCTTAAACAGTTAGTGCTGAATATACCCAGGACCAAGGGCTGAGAATCTTTGTATAGGCATGGGGACAGGTGGCTCACATCCATCCCTCAGCATGAACTCCAACTTTCCCAGGAGGGAGCCCTGACCATAGAGTTCACAAACCAGCTTCATCTCCACCTCTGGTTTGTACTTCCCTTTTCAAGAGGGATTACTTTATAACTCAGTGAAAATAATCCGTAGGGCCAAGAGAATGGTCCATACAAGGATGGAGGCCCAGTTTCCTCTTGGCTTTAACTGAGGACCTCTGGGTCAGACATCTTGTTAGCAGACTGTTTTATGGACTATGTTTTAATAATCTGTTGTTTTCTTTTCAGAAGGTAAGAGCAGCATCTGCTGGAGCCTTACCCAAACGAAGGAATTCCAAGTTATTTTTAGGTAACAGTTATATTGTGTCTTTCTCTGTCATATCTCTGGTGACAGGGATGAACTATGCTGGGTTAAACACTGCCTTCACTTTCTATTTCCCTGACAGTGAATGGTGCTTTGAGAACAGAGTGGGACCCCAGGCTTTGAAGCAATTATGGCAGCTAGAGAGGAATTACAGTCCTGCTTCTGGTCTCTTTCTGTGTGCTTCCTGAATGTGTCTCTCTGTGTCTTATTCTGTCTCACTGTCTCTGTTTCTGTGTCATCTCCTCCTTACCCCACCCCATGTAGCCTAGTGGATGAGTTCATCACTCTCCATCTTACTTTTTTGGGACGGGGTCTCTCACTGAACCTGGAGCTCAGCAATTCAGTTAGACTGGCTGTCAATAAGCCCCAGGTACCCTCATGTCTATGCCTCCCTAGCACAAGGATTATGGCCGCATACAACTACACACAATAAAATGTGCACACAGGAACCTCCCAGAGGTATTACCTGTTGGGTTTGCCCACTAATTTTAGCACCCATCAGTAGTTCTTGCCTGCAACAATGATTGGTAGTGTTGTTTGATATTCTTCATTAAGAAGAGCTAGTTTTGCTTATGCAAATGACTTCTGATTTTTAATCACATAATTAGCCTAAGATTTGTTTTAATCATCTGCTATGGTTTTCTCAGCAATACAAAATTATTTGATGTTTCTGACCGTGTGTGTGTGTGTGTCTATTGAATGGCTACAGTTATTATTTGAAAAGAATTTCAAAACTGTTTGCATAGTGTGACTTCATTTTAGTAAAAACAAATGCACATGCTATTATATTCATGTGCATAAGAGCATGTATGCATGCATGTCTTTATATATATATATATATATATATATATATATGTATGTATGTGTGTGCACTTATGTGGATGAAGCCACAGATTTTTGTGTGTATAATATACACGTATGTACATATTTGACTGAAACCTGGCAGTGTCTAGGAGAACATACTGCACATGGCTGACCGTAGCTCATTTCTTATGCTAAGAAGGACCTGATTCTGGCTTTCTTTTTTCTTATCCATATTTAAACCTTTTGTTTGTTTGACACATATTGCCCAGGCTGGCCTGGAATTCCTCTGCTTAAGTCGTCTTCCCATTTCAGCCTCTTAAGTAGCTGGAACTACTATGTGCATCACCACACCCAGCTAGCTTTTCTCTGTTATAGTAGTGAAAAGAGACTGGGGGATGGGGATGGCCCAGTTGGTACTGTGGCTTGCCATGCCCACATGAGAGCTTGAGTTTGGATCCTTGGCAACTACAACCAAATAAACATCAGGTGTGGTGGCACATCTGTAATTTCAGCACTGGGGGCAGGGAGCACAGAGAGGGCAGTGGATCCCAGGAACACACTGTCCAGCCAGCCTAGTTGAACTAATGAAATCCAGGTTTTGAAGTAGAATTAATTGAATGTGTTCTCTATAGGAGAGAAGCAGGTAATATCTTGTGTGTATGGAGTCCATTCACAAAAGCCTAAGATTTACACTCTGTTTCTTAAAGCTGCTATATGTATAATATGTTAATAAAAAGGAAGCATGAAGTGGAACGATTCATTGAAACTTTTGTTTCCTCATTTCCCTTCCTTCCTTTCCAATTTTTGTGCATGGGAATAGTAGAAACCTGCTCTTGCCTTGAGGGTCCCATGCTATTGAGTAAAATTGAACTGGCCATGTTTCTCATTGAATATTTTTGTTTTAATTTTTGTTATGGATGATGGAGCCTCAATCTTTTATGACACAGTGTCTTAGTTAGGGTTTCTACTGTTGTGAAGAGACACTATGACCACAGAAACTTTTATAAAGAAAAATATTTGATTGGGTGGCTCACAGTTCAGAGGTTCAGTCCATTATCATCATGGTGGGATATGGTGGCATACAGGCTGACGTGGTGCTGGAGAAGGAGCTGAGAATTCTACATCTTGATTTGTAGGTAATAGTAAGTGAACTGAGACAATGAGCATGGCATGAGCATATATGAGGCCTCAAAGCCCAGCCCCAAAGTTACACACTTCTCCAACAAGGTCACCCCTGCTCCAACAAGGCCATACCATGTAGTAGCCACTCCCTTTTGTGGCCACTTTTTTTTTTTTCAAACCATCACAGATGAACTACAGTCAGAGGCAGGCACACTATTTTTTTTTTTAAAGTGTGTATGAAACAAAGGAATTTTGTGTTTTATATTAGTTCCCAACATTTGCAAATATTTAAACATAAACTGAAAAAATATCTGGAATTTTGGACACTAACAGTCTTTTTTTTTTTAAATTATTCCCCTTAAATAAGTTTCCTGATTGTTTCCTAAACAAGTAGACTCTCCTCTGAAACTGCCTTTTCTTAAGTTAGTCTTTATTTTGGTGAATCTTAGGATTTAGAGTCTTTTATTATGTTTGGGTTATATTTTTGCTGTGTCTTATTTTTTCCTTGACATGGTCCTGCTTCTGAGAGTGAAAGCCAGAGCTGTACATGGATGTAGGGCAGTGTTAAAGGTAGTGATGGGATTTAAACTCTTGTTTCTCAGGTGCCTGCTGCAGTGTAACCCAGTAATTTTCTTCTGTCCACAGAGTCCATTTATTTGTGTGGCTTTGCATGTGTATGGAACATCACTTCACTGTTTTTCATCACCATAGTCCCAAACATATAAATACAAACATGACCTGGAACGCTGGCATCCCTGTGAGGGCAAGGCTGTGCTATCCATGGAAATATTATGACCAGACATTTCCTTGAGCTGTCACCTAACCTTTACCAGGGATGAGACAAGCAAGCACAGAGGGTGGCCTGGCAGGGGGTGGCCCAGAGAGGCCTGTTTTCCTTATAGAGAATTCTCTAGGAAAATAGGACTGCTCACATGATGGGTTCTTCTGGTTTCAACCACTATTAGAGATGGGGAGAACAGAGAGAAGGAAGAGGCCATGAGGGAGATTTCTAAGTAACAGCTACTGTTTTTTGGAGACCTACCTTGTGCTGGGCCTCTTCTCTACCATGTCATTTCTTTCCTTTGGAAGAGGAGTACTACCCTTTCCATGCTGAACATGAAAGAAGTACATAGGTTAGAGTTCATGGTTTTCTTAAAGTTGTATTAAATGTGTGGGCCAGCAGTAAAGCCAGCTTTACCCACTCTCAAAGCCATGTGCTTTTGGGTGGGGGAAATGGCTCAGCTAGTAAAGCCTTTGTTATGCAAGCACAGGGACCAGAATTGGTCCCCAGACAGCCTCCCTCCAAATGGGTGTGGTGGTATATCTTGTAATTCTGGCACTGAGGCCAAAACAGGCAGGTTTCTAGAGCTCACCAGCCAGTCTTACTGAGTCAGTGAGCTCTATGCCAGTGAGAGACCTTCTCTCAAAATACAAAGTGGATGGCCCCTGAGGAATGATACCTGAGGTTGACCTTTGGCCTTCGCACACATGCATGCTTACACACACACACACACACACACACACACACACACACACACTTTGGTTTCTTTGTTCTGGTGAAGTTATGGCCCTAAAATCATAGTGGAAACATGTTTCTTTAAAGCCCGTACATTCAGTTTTTAGCATGTATGCCCACTCTGTGTGTCTTTATGATGTGACCCATCATTGATTAACAAGTACACACCTCTTAGGAAAGATGGCAGGACTTGTTTCTCCTGGTGTGGGCCAGGAGGATGGTCAGTTCTGTCAGGGTCAGATCCTGTCCTTGGTGTTTTAACCCTGTGGATTTCCTGTGAGGGTTGAGCCACCCTGTCCTCACTTCTTTTCTTTGTTTTTATTTTCTCCTCAGATCTAGATATGGATGATGATTTAAATAGTGATGATTATGAATATGAAGATGAAGCCAAACTTGTTATATTCCCAGACCACTATGAAATAGCCCTTCCAAACATCGAGGAGTTGCCAGCCCTGGTCAGTGAGTGCCCACATGACTGTGTGGGTGTGCATGTGGCTGTATGTTCTGTGTGGGGATGGGGTAGGGTGGGGAAGGCCAGTCCAGAAGAAGAGGATAAAATGGAGCAAAAGCTGGGTGTGGTGGCACATGATTGTTATCCCAGCATTGAGGATGCTGAGGCAGAACTGTGAGGTTGAAGCTAGCCTGGGCTAAATAATTCAAGGCCACCCAGCGCCACATAGTGAGACCTGTCTCAAAAAACAAAACAAAACCCCTAAATAAATAAAACAGTGTGAACAGGAGTATCTTTCTCCTTTGAGGTCCCACAGAGTGGCCTTTCTTTATTGTGCTACCCCCTTTGGTTTTCGGTGCCCATGAGGCTGGGCTTCTCTAGGCTGGGCTGGCTCCTATGAGTTGGCCAGTGTGTTGCTGGGATTGTCCTAGAATGTACCTCACAGGTGCTGGGACAGCTGGAGAGGGACTGTGTTTTGGTTGGAAGGATGACAATGTGTATGCCAGGTTTTCATGCTGCCCTTCTGTGAAAGATTTCATTTGAAGACTAGAAGAGTTTGCCTGCTGGAATGGCAGAAGCAGCAGCAGTTATAAAAGAACCAGGTGCTTGACATCCCGGCCTGGGGAGCATGGGAGAGACACGCTTGCCTCTGCTTCGCTCCTCCAAGAACCAAGATGACTCTTGTAGTTTTGGTAGTGAGCTCCTCCACCCCTACTCCCTTCCTCTTTCTTGTGTTCTTCTCAGAGTCAGTTTCACAGAAGGGTCTTGCTTTTCCTGGAGGAAGTGGGTGCTGGGTTGGTGGCAGGATGGGCAAGATGCCTGTTGCTTTTGATTCTGGAGTTCAGAGAGAGGTCACAGGGCTCCTGTGACCCAAGATGTCCTTCTTGCTTCTCCCTCACTTCCTGCGTGACTTCCAACACTCTGTCCCCTTCCTTTTCACCTCGTGCATGGATACCACTGTTTTCTATAGTCTTGTCCCATAGCAGTGGGGCAAGGTGGGCTAAATTAAGACATGCCAGTTCATTTTACCCTCTTCAAACTCCACTAGAACCAAAGGCAGGCCTGTGGGTCCCAGAACCTTCTAACTGACCCTGACCAGTGAGAACTGACTGCTCAGTTGCTCCTGCCAAAAGGGGATGTTTGGACTTAGAGTTTCCATGTTCAGGGGGGCTGGGTTTCTAGTGTAACCTATTTTCTTCTGATATATCATGCAGCTAAATTTAAGACCATAGAAATAAGAGTGCTGTTCATCTGTCGGCTGCAGCCCTCCCACTTACTAAATGTAAGGCATCCTTTTCCGCATGAGGTCTTCAGTGACGCTTGTGGAAGTGAATTACTGTTGCTTCCTCAGATTTCCAATGTTGACTCATGGCTGCTACCAGGAGTAAAATAAGAGTAATGGATAAAATGGTCGGAATCTGAAGTGCTTTTATTATTATTTTCATTTTTTTTTTCCAGACAGGGTTTCTCTGTGGCTTTGGAGGCTGTCCTGGAACTAGCTCTTGTAGACCAGTCTGGTCTGGAACTCACAGAGATCCGCCTGCCTCTGCCTTCCAAGTGCTGGGATTAAAGGCGAGCACCACCATCCCCCGGCCGAAGTGTTTTATTTTTATTTAATGTGTATTGTTGTTTTTCCTGCATGTATGTGTGAAGGTGTCAGATCCCCTGGAACTGGAGTTATAGATGGTTGTGAGCTGCCATCTGGGTGCTGGGGAAAGGACTGGGGTCCTTAACCCTGAGCCATCTCTCCATCCCCAATGCTGAGAGTTCTTATTGCTTCAGTTCAAAGCAATTCTGGTTTTGCTGTAGGAAAGGAAGTAAAGAAGCATATTGTAAATATATGTCATGAAAATTTTTATTCATTCACTTTTCTATGTGAAGGTTTTTATGTGAAAAAATGTAAATATTAAGAAAGAGCCTCAAAGTGAGTCATGCTTGTAATTCCACACTGGGGAGGCTGAAGCAGGAAGATGGCTAGGAGTTCACTGCTACAGAGTAACATCCTGTCTCAGACAAACAAACAAACAAAAAACAAGCCAAAAAAACACTAAACCAAATAAAAACCTACCCCAAGCCCAAACCAAAAACCACCAAACCAAACAAAAGCCTCCCCCAAATTCAAAAACAAAGGAAGACTCATTCCTCATACACTACTGTTAAACATGTAGTACTTTCTTTCTGTGCCTGGCTGATTTTACTCGATACAATCATCTTCACTTTTATCTATGCTGTTGCAAATGGCAGGATTTCATTACTTTTCATGGATATATAGCATTCCATTGTATGCAAGCATCACATTTTTTCCCCCAGTCACTAGGTGATAGGCACTCAGTTTTTTTCTCTTTCCTTGCCCATTGAGAATGGCACCATGGCAAACATAGGGATGCTGAATTTCTTAAAATTTAGCAGTCAGTTCCTAGGGCCCGGTTTGAGCCAGTTCCAGGGAAGCACTGGATTTGAGGTCTCTGAGATTTGAGGTAGAGTCCAGGTCTTCCTCACTTCACTCCAGCATCAACTCAAGGGGGAACAAACTCAGTGTAGTTATAGGATCATCAATTTGACTTCAGCCATGACCCATGAAAAGGATGATTTACTATGACACCAGGCTAGTTTTTTTATGGTGGCCCCAGGGGCCTGAGGAAATTTTGTTGGATGTCTCCTGGGCAGATATTCAAAGAAAAAAGATTTTATCTGACTTTTGTAAGTCAAACCCCCTGTCAATAATGTGTGTGTGCTCTGTGGAAAAAGCACATAGGAGGATGGCATGCGATCCAGGCAGCTGGGAAAACAAGCTGCTGCAGGTGATGGGAAGCTGCAATGAGGACGTTGGTTGCCAGGGTGAGATGCTAAGGCTTCGGGGTCCAAGCACGGAATCTGCCAGGTGGTGGGAGATGCATTGTGAGGGCTGACAGGATAACTCACTGTGGGTTGTATACATGACAGAAAGAGTAGGGGTGCCCATTTTGAAAGGTCTAACAATCGACTCATGCCCAGCTATGCTATCTGAGGCCCCATAGAATGTGATTGGCTTCTTTCCCTCAGCATACATTTTCCAGATTTATTCACATTGCATCATATATTGGAATCCTGCTTCTTTTAATTGACAAATAAAATCCTATCGTGTGAACATACTACATTTGTTTTTGTTTTCATTCTATTTATCACTGATAGACATTTGGGTTGCTTTTGCTTTACAGCTGAAATGCTATTACAGCTATCTCTTAATCCGTCCTCTTGGAACTAATGCTTCACATCTCTTGGGTGTATCTCTAGCTGTTGATCTGCTGGGTCCTGGGGCAACTGTTTGATCATTTGAAGAATGACAGGACTGGTTTCAAAGTGGCTGTACTGTTACTTTCCAGCAGAATTCAAGTCTTATGGGAGCTAGAGAATAGCTTGCAGCATTAGGCACATGTGTTGAGAGAAAGCAGAAGGCATCAAGCTAGGCATCGCACCTCTGCTTGTGAGAGGACACATGTAGCATAGGCATCATCTCTGCATTAGACTAGGAAGTGGAGCTGTACTGCACGCATTCCACTCAAGTGCCCTTGACCCCATGCCATGTGAGTTGAGGATATTGGATATCTTGGTACATGAGGAGGAAACTCAGCCCTCCTGCAGATCCTGGGCATTCCTGTTCCTAACTTGCTCCTTCACCCTTCCACCCCATTGCTAAGTGATAGGGATTATTCTGTGTGAACACTAAGCTTGAGTTGCTGAATGCCATTTGCTTCCTTGCTCTCATGTCATCATCAGTACCCCAGCCCCATGCCTGGGTCAAATCTAGGCAGATCGAGGGGAATGAACCTATCTGTGGTATAATTGAATTTCAGAAGTGAGGCTGCTGCATTTCTTTATAAGCTTCTGTGTTCACTTCTAGAAGCTGAGTTTTCAGTGTCCTGTCTGGCTTTGTCTCATAGGTAACAATTGCTTGTGATGCAGTGCTCAGCTCCAAGTCACCTTACACAAAGCAGGATCCAGACACGTGGGAAAATGAACTACCAGTATCGAAGTATGCCAACAATCTCGCCCAGCTGGACAATGGGGTCAGGATTCCTCCCAGGTGAGAGTCTGCTAGCAAAATGGAACTTTAGCCCCCCAAACTGGTCAAAGAAACATCTGATTTCTACCTTTTCTCTGAATTAGCAGTTTTATATTTTCTTAGTAGATGCCTTTCATTACAAATCCAATAAAAACTGGAAATTGTTGACAGAAATAAGTCAGACTCCAAAAGACAAAATCCCTGTTTTCTCTGATATATGGACTTAGATTTAAGTTTAAGTGTTTACACACATATACACACATGCACATGTATATCTGTGTATGAAACTTGGAAGGGGATCATGGTGGCAGGAAGAGATCTTAAGTGATGGAGTGAAAAGAACAATGGAACACACATGATACGGAAGCAGAGGGGGAAGCGTGGGCGTGAGGGGGCCTGTGGAGGAAGACTTATTAGAATAAACTGTAATGACCCACATGCATACAATGTCATAATGAGACCCACCCTTTTGTATGCTAACTTTAAAAACTATTTTACAAAAGAAAGAAAGAAAAAAACCCAATAAAAATAAACTTCTTTCCTGGTATGCCTGGACCTTTGCAGGAGGTGCTGAGCTCTCTCAACCTTGAGCCCAGGCCCTGCCCTGAAGCAAAGCTGGTGTTTGCACACATATGCAGCTCTGCACGGGGACTTTGTCCTTGGCAACATCAGCTATGCAGTATGTGGGATGGTCAGACATGCCAGCTGAAGTTCTTGTCCTCTGGGACTGCACACTGGCCGTAGAGTGGGTGGATAAACACCTCTGGAGAACACTTATCTTCCGAGTTCCTCATCAGGCCTGAGCTCCAGGTCTCCACTGTGGTTACTTGGGGACATATTTTTGCTGGCTTCTGCTCTTTCTTATTTGTCACCCCATTCTGCTGGGATCAGCGTCCACACATCCAGATCTATGTGTCTGAGTTCATTCTAGGGGGCTTGACTTGACACAGTGTTGGACTGTCTCCAGTAGGCTAGAATGCTCTTTGGGGCTTAGTAGCATCTCTGAAGGCAGATCTCATGGGGAAGGAGCAGATGGTACTTAGAAGGATGTCCAGTTTCATTGACCTGTGACTGCACTGCTGTCTGTTTTAAGAAAGTAGGTTTGGAGAAAGCACATCAATTTTGGGCCTCGTTTCCTCCCTCTGTAGAAAGAAGGATGGTGACACTAACATTGAGCAGAATTTTCTAAAATTAGATGATAGGACTTTCTGCTAGCCATCTGACCCATAACTGACATTTAGTCTCCATTTTGGGTCGTTTATTTTCTTAATTTAAAACTGTAGTATTGTAGGATATGCAAGTCATCTTTTATAGCAAACACTTGAGATAGGTCAGCCATTAATGGGGAAAGTTGGTCTTGGTTCATGGTTTTGGAGGTATCACTCATGGTTAGTTGGCCCATTGCTTTTAGTCAGTAGTGACATGGCACATCAGGTGTGGTACCCGTGGTGGTGCAGGCTGTTTAGCTCATGGTGGGATGAAAGGAGAGAGAAAAGGATGTCTTGAGTTCTAATGTTCTCTTTATAAGTATTTCCCAATTGAGGCTGGAGTGCTAGTTTTGGTTAAGAGTGCTTGCTGCTCTTGCAGAAGACCTGGGTTTGGTTCCCAGTGCACACATGGCAGCTTGAAACTGTTTGTAACTCCATTTCTAGGGGATCTTGTGCCTTCTTCTGGCCTTCACTGGCACATACACAGTGCACTTATATACATGCAGGCAAAACAACTGTACACACAAAATAATAAAAGTAAATAAATCTTAAAAATAAAAAGTACACTCAATGAACACAAAACTTTCTCTTCAGCTATATGTCTTTTAAAACATTTTTTCAAAGTATATTAATTATACATAATAATGGGATTCATGTTTCATTGTTGTTTTAGTTTCTATTGCTGTGATAAAACACCATGACCAAAAGCAGCTTGTGGAGGAAAGGGTTTATTTCAGCTTATACTTCAGGTAACAGTCCATCACTGAGGAAAGTCAGGGAAGAAACACAAGCAGGGCTGGAACCTGGAGGCAGGAATGGAGCAGAGACCATGGGGGAGTGGTGCTTACTGGCTTGCTCCTCAAGTCTTGCCCAGCCTGCTTTCTTCTACACCTCGGGACCACCTGCCCAGGGATGGCACCACGCACAGTGAGTTAGGCCCTCCCACATCAATCATCATTTTGCCTTATATGCTCTATATGTGCCTGTAGACCAATCTTATGGAGGCCTTTTTTCAATTACATTCCCTCTTCCAAAATAACTCTAGCTTATGTTGGTTGACATAAAAAACTAGCCAGCACTATTGATGTTTTCATATATAATGTGTAACTGTTTTGCTTACATTCACTCCTGTTACCCTCTGTCATCCTCTTACCACTCCTGCGGATCCCCTTCCTCTTCTAAACTAGTCCCTTCTATTTTAATGACTCTCTTCTTTGGAACTCCATAAGTTTAATTAGGGTTGTTTAGAGGAGAACAGGTGAAGGGTTATTTATGGGAGCAATGGCACATTACCAGTGAGTACACCATTGAAGAAAACGTTTTTCCCTTCCCGAGAAACTATCACCTATAAGTTCTCAGGGAGGGGCAGGCCTCATGAGTGTCTTCCTACTCCATGATGGAATGGACCCAATCTTGTAGTCACAGCAACTATGAATCCAAGAGTGCAGTGGCTGTGTCATTCCCAGAAGAAAGAGTTCCAGGACATGCACCTCTCATATTCTTTCTGTAGTATTCTTCCCTAGAGGAGGTGATGTGGATGTCCCATGTATGGCTGAGCATTCAGCAGTCTCTTGTTTTCAGCATGTTGACCACTTATTAGTCTCCATGGTCCCTGCTGCCCACTGCAAAGAGAAGCCTCTTTGGCCAAAGCTGACTGTACCAATAATCTGCAACCCCAGATGTAAATATCTAGACAACTGTTTTACAGGTACATTATGTCCACTTGCAAACTCTGCTGGCTTCATAATGCCACACTGAGAAACTGTACCTTTAATGTATGGGCCTTCCTGGGATATGCCCAAATTGGACTACGGCATAGTTTTAATCCACATTAGTTTTACCATATGGGTAATGCTTTGGAAATGTCTTCCACATGGGATCCTCCATGTTTGTGCCCTGTTTAGGAGTCACTGTCCTGCAAGTGGGAGTTTGGAGGACATGGCCTCTTTCTTGCCCTTTGTATCATGGACCAGTTTTCTAAAGAGCCATGCTGGAGGTGCTGATAGTCTCTGGCCCAGTGTGGTAGGCAGTCAGCGCACTGGTCCTGTGCTCTGGATGGGGAGCAATAATATCTGGGGGTGGGAACCTGGGGGTGGGGGGAGTGATGCCAGTAGGAGGCGCTGTTCATTTTTTCACATGACAATCTTTTGCTGATGTGTTAGCTGTTCTGATTGTTCTGTGTGACTTTCTAGTGGCTGGAAGTGTGCCCGGTGTGACCTGCGGGAGAACCTCTGGCTGAATCTGACTGACGGCTCTGTTCTGTGTGGGAAGTGGTTTTTTGACAGCTCTGGGGGCAATGGCCATGCACTGGAGCATTTCAGAGACATGGGCTATCCTCTGGCCGTGAAGCTGGGCACCATCACACCTGATGGGGCAGGTGAGTGTGGATTTGCATGGCTGGCATCTTGTATTTCTCAGCTCAGCCCGGACCTGGGCTTCATCTCTTACTAATTGCGGAATGATTACTTGAGATTCCTCATCTTGGGGATGCTGATGGAACTTCTCTTGCATTTATTCACAAGCTTAAAGCATCAAGCCCAGTAGCATTCAGTAAGGTTCGAATAAAAATTAGCTGTCATCATTTAACTCAGGGCTAAGGGGGCCCAAGCAGGAAATAGGGTCTAGGAAGTGAATGTGCATATTGAATCCTCTATTAAGAGGGCAGAAGGCAACCCTAGAATTCATTGTGGACATTATTAGTACCATAATGCTAGAGATGAATGATATTATGAGAAATCAGTAGGGCTGGGGAGATACCTGGCTCAGTAGTAAAGATGCTACAACTAAGCCTGATAACTTGATTACCAAACAGTTTGATTCCAGGGACCCACATGGTGGAGGGAGAGAGATAGCTCCCACATGCTGTCCTTTGATCTTCTTATGTGTGCTGTGGCATACAAGAGTGTATACCTGCAAATGCATGTGTGTGTGTGTGTGTGTGTGTGTGTGTACACATAAACACAAGTAAATAGAGATAGATAGATGAAAATGTGAAAATAAAACAAATAAAAAAAAATTTTCCTGTGCCGTGAGGCCCAGCAATGATGATTCTCATGTCTTCATGTCTCCAGCTTCCTGCCTGGACAGCCAGCTATGCTGTCTCTCTCTGCTCTCAAGTCATCTTCTCTAAATGGTTAGCTTTGGACCACATCTGTACCTCCTCTCATTCACTCCTCCTACCATTCTATGATGGGAAAGGGAAGTACTACTATGTCAAGACACAACACTTAAACAATGAGCAGTGGCTATGAGGACCTGTCATCTTGTAATCATGCAAACAGTTTTTAACCTCACATCTGGAGCAGAATCCAGCCCTGGTGTCTCCATCTTTTCAGTTTTTGTGTTTGTTTCTTCTCTGCTCTAAGCAGAGGAAAGAGGGAAGACAGGTGTCTTAATTCTTCTTCCATCATCACAGCTTAGAGAAGAGGTTTAGTTTCCCATTCATTTTATGGTTGAGTGCTAGCTGTTAGGTCATGTTAGGATTCTTTTTTTTTTCTTTTCTTCTTTTTTTCATGTTAAGATTCTTTTGTTTCACATTTTGGAGAATGTTACCGCTTCCAAATTTCATGGAATTATTGTTATTATTGTTTTTGAGACAGTCTCACTCTGTATCTGGATGGCCTCAGACTCACTATGTAGTTTAGACTGGCCCCAGATTTATCCATCCAAAAGAAAAGTGGTTGCAGATGTATGAGTTGCAGGTATGAAACATTTCCCATCTAAGTGAGTTGCTCTGTAAATCAAGTTTAATTCTGAGTATTCTGGGATTTAAAGAGAAATTCAGGCTGTGCACTGGGTGGGGGGAGGGAGGCTTAATACTGCCGCAATACTGACAGGTGATGGGCAACACTATAACCAACAGTACTGCCTGATAGTTAATGAGTACTAAATAATGAGGGTACCTGATACAAAAAGCCTCCTCTGTGTCCTTTGGGGGGCAGTGGAAAGGTTCTCAATGCAGGATTTTGTGCTGATTTGAATGAGAAATAGACCAAATATGTGAACACTTGGTCCTGTGTTGCTGATGCTGTTTGGGAGAAGTGATGGCATAGAACACAAAGTCTTGCTAGAGGAAGTATGTCACTGGTGGTGGGCTTTGAAAGTGTATATAGCCTTGCTTCACTTGCAGTTCACTCTTTTAGCTTCCTCTATGAGGTTGAGGCGTGATCTTTGTTTTCTGCTCTGTACACGAGTTGCCATGCCTCCACACTATTACAGATAAGTCCTCTATAACCATAAATCCAAATAAACTCTTCCTTCTGTAAGTTGCCTTGGTCATTCTATTTTATCATTATTAAAAAGCAATTGCTACCAGAAGAGAACATTACAGTTTAGACTTTCCTATGTTCTGTGCCATCTTGGGCAGTATTTTATAGAGCCATGTCTTTGGGTTATTATTGCTACGATGAAACTCTATTACCAAAAAGCAAGTTAGAGAGAAAAGGGTTAATTTGGTTTGGATTTCTACATCACTAGTGGTTCATAACTGGAGGAAGTCAGTACAGGAACCTGGAGGCAGGAACTGATGCAGAAGCCATGGAGGGATGCTGCTGACTGACTTGCTCCTCATGGCTTGCTCAGCCTGCTTTCTTATAGAACCAGGGATGGCAACACCCCTGATGGGATGAGCCCCCCCCCATCAGCCACTAATTAAGAAAATACCCTAAGGCTTGACTGCAGCCTGATCTTAAGGAGGCATTTTCTCAATTGAGGCTCCTTCTTCTCAGATGACCTTAACTTGTGTCAAGTTTCTCAAAAGCTTTAAAAGTCCAGCTTCTAAAATAAGTGAAGGAACTAAAATCTGAGGGGAAAAGGAATTGACTCACACAAAATTGCTCTTCTGCATGTTCTTTATTCTTCTTTTTCTCTCCCTGTCTCTCTCTGTTTCTTTGTTTCTTTCTTTGTTTCTCTCTTCTGTTTGTCTCTCCCCAGTTTTTGGGTTACAGGTATATATGCCCATTTGCAATAGTAATTCTTTTTACAATACAGTGTGAGCTTGAGTTTCTCAGGGTCAGTAAGGCAGATAAGATTTATACACAGAGCAATAAACTAAAACTGCTAGGAGAAACTTTTGGCATAAGTTACTTAGGGCTGTAGGTCAAAGAGAGGGTCTAAGTTTAATTTGCACAAGAAACAGAACCTGGTGCCTTTCCGGCTCCGTGACAGCATGGGTCTCCAGGAAAGTTTACTTTTCCTTAAGGATGAGCAAGTGGGTTGATTACCTATGTCTTTATCTTCTCCGGGGAAACACAAGCAGTAAATCTCTGAGCTAAAATGCTGAGTTAGTACAACAAGAAGTTTGAGAACCTTTTAGTGTAGGGTTAGTTTAGGTTATCGCTTCTCTATCTGCCAGGGAGGAAAAGCCAAGGGCATGCTTATTTTTTCTATCCATCCAGGCAGCTATGAATCAACAGATTTGAGAGTGTAGTAGTGCTATGTCCTTGGATTCTGAGGATGTCCTAGGTGGGATGCTTTTGCCTGGGCCTTAAACACTGACCAAATGCCTGTCAATAAAGGTAACTGTAGGAAGACAGATCTCTGCAATTACAATGGAGAGGGGAACAAGGAGCTCAGGAATATAATCAGTAAACCAGGACCTGTTAATGGAGAACAGGTATTTACACATAGCTAGGGAGTGTAATCAGTAAAACTCCAAATGCATGGGAGAAATTTGTTCTCAATAAACGATTGCTACAGGAAGGGATAAGCTACAGGAAGAATCTACAGCAATAAACAGCCAATTCATTCATGAGATTATAACACCAAGTACAGCCTTTGTGCTGGTTTCATCCATCAGCAGAATCCTTAACTCTTCTGAGTTATCTCATGAGAGATGGCTGTATAATTACTACGTGATGTTGCAGTTTGTAGCACATGTTGACATAAAACTGGTCAGCACAGACCAGTATATAAGAAACCCGGTTCTCAGAGCAATCTGACTGAGGTTTCTCTTGTCAACTGGCAGACCCTATTGCATGTTTGTGAGGGTTTTCTAGCTTGGGTTAATTTACTGGGAAGACCGACCCTGAATGGGACCACCCCATGGATCCCAAACTACAAAACAAGGAGAAAGCAAGTTGAACATCAGCATTCATCCCTGCCTGCTACCTGACTGTGGGTGCCATGTGACCAGCTGCCTCACAGTCCTGCCTCCATGACTCCCTTTCTTCTTTAACCCACCTTTGTCAGGCGTTTCATCATAGTACTGACAAGGGGCTAATACAGCACCAGTACTTTTCACCTATCTGCAAAGTGGGTTTTTACAACTCTAACCTGTTGTGGGAGATCCTGCAGAGCATCAGAGCTTGGCTTCTGGCTTGGATTCCGGAGTGGTAGCACCTAGGCTTTGAACTGCCTTTTGAGATGTTGCCTTTGTCACTGATACCTTTTGTTTGAAGTGTTTGAATCTTATCTGAGTTCTTCCTGAAGGGTTCAAGGCCTTTGCAAAACTTGGTTATTCAGAGGACTTGGCAAACCAAGACTGAGACTTGCTTTAGCATTTGGTTTCTTCAAACACTGCAGAAAAGGTTTTGGTATGCAGAAATTGACCTGCTAAGGTTCGAATTGTTTAACCATAAAAAGGTCTTATGTGAAGCAATGGACAGTCAGTTCACCAGAGCTGGCTCCCCTGCTGCTCTGCTAAGTCAACGTTCACCCTGGAGTGACCCTAAGTCTTCCTTGGATTTGTGTAAAACGGAACTCTGACACTAGTAGTTTGAAATAAGGGTTACGCCTCACTCATCTTTGAATTCAGTACAATATCTTAGGCATATTAGACACAAATATTTTTGTTAACCAATTGATGAGTATTTAAATAATTAGCCTCTAAGTGAATCTGTCATGATAACACAGGTTAATTCTCCTGTGTATGTATATTTTACATTTATTTAATGTCTGGGTTCATGTGTGCGGATGTAGTGTGTGTGTGTGTGTGTGTGTGTGTGTTGAGATCAGAGGTCATTCTTGAGCGTATTTCTCTAGTCACCATTGCTGTTTTCTTATGACATGACCTCTCTTTGACCTTGAGCATGCTGATTGGGCCAGGCTGCTAGCCAGTGAACTCAGTCATCTGTCTGTTTCTACTTCTCCACTGTTGGGATTACAGCTCCATGCTACCATGCTTGGCTTTCTAACATGAATTTGAAGATCAAACTCACTCTTCATGCTTGTGTGGAAGGCACCCTACCAACTAAGGTGTTTTCCCAGCCCCAAGTTTCTCTTTTTTAAGTTGTTATCCTTGCATAACACTAGAGGTGTAACTAGAGTGTGTCATTTCTCACACACTAGAGGTGTAACTAGAGTGTGTCATTTCTCATACACTAGAGGTGTAACTAGAGTGTATCACTTTTCACACACTAGAGGTGTAACTAGTGTCAT